CATTGAGACTGAGTGTCCATTTGCAGCATGTCACTGACAGCACTCCCAGCACGGAGGAGGACATTAATAGTTGGTGTATCATTTTGATCACATCATTGCACTGATCGTCCACCTACGCTGCAAAGAAGCGCAACGGTAGGGGAGCTGGTTGAGTGGCAAGCTGTTACCGCTTCCTCCCTAAACCCAATGACACGAGTGAAGGTTTATTACTGAATGTTCTGAGTGTCTCTCAAATGAAGCTCTACTTGGAGTATGGGGAGGATATGACCACATTTCCACACAGTGTGGTTCAATTAAGCACACTATAGTTTGGGTTTGGAACAGTAAAAACTGGTCTGGCTCGTGTTTGTAGCGGGATGGTAATAACGGCATCTCTCGTGTGAGTAAATGATAGCTGAAGTAGGAGGGTCACACTGGCTATGCCATAAAAATAAATAAAAAAGCTCAAGTCATAAGATCAGCATAAAACTCGAAAAACGTTTTCATTTTAAAATATTTACATGTTAAGTACATTGAACTACCGGAAGAAATGAAATTAAACTAACATTCCAAAAAAAGTGTTTTTATGACATTGTCACAGTACTGCAAGAATACCCCCCCACCCCAAAAAAAAAAAATGAATCGCACACCATCTTGAACTGTACCGCTTGATGAAACTGTTGCTCACGTGATGAAAGACGGCTTGAAAACTTCCCATAATATCCCCCCAAAACCTAAAAAAAACTTCCTGTGGGGTGATCACAAATGCAAAACAGCAGTGCCTCTCGTTCTCCTAATAACCCAGATGGCGACATATGGTTCCATTTCTGGCTCATGAATCCCTTCGGATTCTCACTCCTCCTGACTGGAAGCGGCCTTGCCAGGACTGGGAAGCAGGGGCGGATCTTCCACGGGAGAAAGGGAATAGAAAGTCTTTTGAAAAGTGGGAAGTGGGCTATTGAGAACAAATAGCAGAAAAAGGGAGCGCGGGAAGAAATGGACAAGGAGGGGGAGAGACAGAGAGAGAGTGTGTGGGAGGCAACGCTCATCAGATGCAGCGGGGAGGATTGAGACAGAGAGTTCCAGAAGAGAAAGAGAAAAGAGCAATTGACGACGGCACACAGAAATGTGAGATAAATTGAGCGATTCGGCAACGTTTCCAGTTCCAATGGAACCTCTCTTGGATAAACACTGCACAGCTGCGAGTGATTATGTGTGTGGGTTGGTGGGGTGGGCGGAGGGGGGTGAGAGCCAATGTAACCTCCGTCTGCCCCTCATGACTCGACGCGCCCCCCATCCCCAGGTCTCCGCCGTCTTGGTCGCCATCTTTCATCAGTCACAAGTTAGATCCTTGCTGAGTGAGTGCAGGGTGAACACAGCATGGCGTGTGATTTGCGCCTCGGCAACAGACTCCAAACGGAGAGACCATTGATTGAAATGCAACGCCGTAAACGTGTTTGGTTTGAATCACGCAAGTCCAAAATGCTTTATGAGTCAAATATTAGAGGGAGGTCAGGAGAGAGCAAGACCTCTACAAGGCGCACCTAAAAGCATTCAATTTTCTCAAAAGCCGAAGGTGCGCCTTATAATCCGATACGCCTTATATATGGATCAGTATTCTGATTTCTTGGATGTAGTATTTCAAATGTTCTGTGAATCGCTTTATTACAGCTGCAGCGGTAGTGAAAGCTCTATATAAAGCTGTGTTGTATTATATTCCCTTCAGCGTAGCTCCATCTAATGGATGCACAACGCAACCGCAGCCACTATTGTAGCTTCTATACCCCTTATAATGCGGTGCACCCTATACATGAAAACCGTTTTAAAACAGGACATTCATTAAAGGTTTCGCCTGTCAATCCGAAGCGCCTCAGTGCGGAAAATACGGTAATCGTATAACAAGGGCGAAGGCAAAATCTCTCTCACGAAGCAGGCACTCAATACGCAAACTGGTTAGCAGCCAGCCGCTAACCTGAGCCCGCTGCAGTCAACACTGCATTCTCATTTGCTGACTCCCACGTCACTCACCAGGCCAGGTCCCGCCTATCAAAGTCACACACATAGTGTGGAATGTGAGCATGGTAACGTGACATCAATGACACCTGCACCCCACATGTGGTGGTTTGACAAGGTGGATTAAGTCGATTGAGTCCCCACCGAAGGCCGAGATGCCGAATTCATGGCCTACCACTGTTTGGATAGGGAAGGGAAAATAAAAAACCCAAAACACATGTTGCTTTCCCTCGTTGTCAGCAAATTAGCTTGACATTGGATAAAACAGCTGCTTATCTGGTTAGCGTTAGGACTTGATGTGTCAACGTCCCACATGGGAGCAGCAGGAACAGTTACAGGTGTTGGAAAAACCTGATTTTGAATGCAGGGATGACTCAAAACAAGTGCACATGGGAAACTCTTACACCCGTTGTGTCATCTCGTTCAGCTTTATGCCTTTTTACACACACACACACAAAACACACACACACACACACACACACGCACACACACACACACACACACACACACACACACACACACACACACACACAGTCAACCTTACGCAGGTTGTGTTTTCAAAGCGACATCCCAAACATTCCTTTAACTTCGAGTCACAATGAGCCTCTGTTTCGTTCTGTGTCAACAAGTCCGACATTTATTTTGGTTATTTTGACTGTGTCTGGCACACATGTCGTTTCGATTGCCAACAGAACGTGAAACCCTGAAGGAGACCACACCAACCGGTTCAGGGTGTCCCCCGCCTACTGCCCGAAGACAGCTTTGATAGGCTCCAGCACCCCCCGCCACCCTTGTGAGGATAAAGCGGATCAGAAAATGGATAGATGGATGCATATTGCTATATTACATATATTAAATACTGATCTGCTAGACATAAGAAGAGGGCAGTTTCAGAATCAGCGCAATAATAATAATAATAACAAGAAGAAGAATAATAGAAATAATAATAATAATCTCGAAAAGTTTACTTGCATCTCCGATAGAAAAAAAAATAGTAAACATTTGTTGACCAGTGTAATTAACAGTTAAGCCATTCAGAATAGCAGTGTCAGGCTAAATGACTCTCATGTTCATGTTGCGGAGTTACAATTAGATGCAAGTCAACCCTCGGGGCATTACCATAAACCTTACTCCCTCCACTAATGATGTAGTTTTTCCAGTTGAGTATGGCTCCCTTAAAAGCAATTAAGAGGACTGGTCTATTCTCATTTAGCGAAACTGGAGCTAATGAAGGCAGGGGATTGCCCAAGTACAAGCCGAGAAAGCCAACTCATTGGTCATGTTTATATGCAAGTCAAATAACCCTTTTCGTAATATTAACAATGATCCGGTTGCCCGAGGTGGTGGAAACACCCACAAAAGCCAGTAAACGTGTCTCTGAATTTTGAAGGGAACACCCACTTGTATTCCGGGCATGTTCTATTTGCAAGGAATCTTGATTTTTTTGAATACAGGAAGTATTAATATGCCGTGCAACCCGGCGGGGGGGGGAAAAAATAACAAGCAGAGGTAACACACACCGTGCCACACTTTTTTGGAACGAGGTGGAAACCGACTGCTTTATTAATGTGGTGAAGGACATCATGTCTTTTGTCGACGGTAGAAAGTATCGAGAGAGCGGCACGGCAAAGTCGGATTTGTACGAACGCCGGACGATATATACTGCTGGAAGATGCTTTTAAGTACTGCTGATGTGTCAGTACCAGCATCCAAGCACCAACAAGAGGTGAACTGCTATCGGCTCCGCACTGTTGGTGATCCGCCGTACTGCTGTTGATTTTGTTTTTGGATGGAAGAAGTGAAACTGACGCCTATTTGCGTCATGACATTGTTGCGGCTTGGATGGGGATATCCCAATTGAATTCAATTATTTTGTATGCGGGAGTAACTCTCTCTGCCCAGGCATGTAAACAGGTTATTCCGAATGTTTCTGGAACCAAAAATTTTAATTAACCATGAACCCAAATGTTGGCGGCATTATACTGCAAATATAGTCACTGAAGAATATAGAAGTTGGACGATCAAGCCTTTTAGGTTTCTGCAGTCTGCAATCAATACTTGTTGTTCTGAGGCGGTGATGTTGATATTCATGCCTGATAACTATGCTGATGAGAGTTAAGGTGTTTTCTTGAGACGAAAGTCGTGTTTTGCCACCATCTTGGTTCCATTGACACTTGTAAATCCATGCCTGCTGAGCTTCGAATATGTAGGGGTCGACTGTAGTTTTAAGTGGGAATATCACCAATCACCACGAGGTGGCAGACGTCTTATTTGATCTACTGATCCTGGTCTACATGTATTGCTTTACCATTTGTGTTCAAAAATCCATCGATTAAAGGGTTACAACACCATAACTATGATGCTATTTGTGTTAACTCTGGTGTTTCGCATTCATGCTAACAGCCCCCCATGCTAACGGCCCCTCCGTTACCATGGAGGGCTGTTAGCATGAAGCTCTCGGACGTTCCAAAGGCAGTCATGTGGTTGTTTTCAAGAAACAATTTGTAAATTGTTTTTTGTTTTATGTTTAGTTAGACAGGAAACCTCATCTGGTCGTGGTAACAAACAGATTGAAGCCTATTTTTGAACACTCTTTGACTTCTCAAATTCCCGCTAATATGTCAAAGCAAAAGTGAAGATTCTCGTCTCAAAAACCTCAGAAGTCGGGTCATTTGTAAGTCAAGGCGCCACTGTTTTTTTTAAAGCAACTGTAGACGTGATACAAACTGCAGTCATATTAATACAATAACAGACATTGTTGAATTCATATCCTTGTGTAGTGACGAAGCGTTTATGATGCAAACGGACAAAATGGCGGAAAAAAGTATAATGTGGAAGAGCATCATTATTATATTTCCTCATAATGTGACATTTCCTCGAATCATCATTAGCAAACCTACTGGCGGTGAGTTACTTGAAAGTTCATCATCATTAAAAATAACCGCAAGGATTCCTTTTGCTCGTGTTCATGCCACGGAGGAACAAACGGTAGCAGCGCCGGCATTACTGGCAAATGTCACTGTGGGTTGGCATGGCGACAGTCACCGAATTTGGGGGACTAAGATCCGAAGGGTTAAAACCTACAGATAGGAGTCCAGATATTAATGCTGAGCTTAATCAGACACTTGAGTACAAAAGCTCTCTTAAATGAAAACTTTTTCGCTCCAAAGCTCGTCTTGCGCGCAGCTCCTGTGAGTGTTGCTTAACCGGAGAAGAAAGCGAAAATAATTCAGAGGAGATCAGTTGAAGAGAGAGGCCGAGCGGAAATGACAGATGGATGAAAAAGGGGAATTGGAAAGAAGGGACTCAAGAGAGGACAATGCACAAGACGAGAGCGAGAGCGAGAGAGTAAGAGGACATGAGAACCGTTTTTTTTTTTTTTTTGTGTGTAACGGCTCGGCCTTGTGTGCTCTTCCTGAGCCCTCTTCATACAACACAACTAAACCCGCTGCAGCCTCTGCATGTTTACATGAATACAGAATATAATATCGTTGAATTGACTTTCCCCAGCCAATACAACCACAAAAGAACATAAAAAAGTCACCAGCACTCTTGAGAAATGTTTTTTAATCATTATTTTTTTTAAATCCAGTGTGCCTGGGTCCCCACCCACAGTTTTCTGTTTTCACATACTCTCTGTGTTGATATCAGTGATGTCATGCACATGTTCACACCCTTGTTATCAGTAGTTGGCAGATGTTCCACGTTGCCTCTTTTGGCTGTCAGCAAGTTTGTTTTCTTTAAACCGTGTGCAGCGCGACGTACGAGAGCGTTATTTTCACACAGGATCGGTTGATATATGATATAATGAGCAGTATAAACCACTCAATCGTTGCAAGCTGTTACCTACATGGTCTGAACAGCAACTTTCAAACACGCAGCAACATAAATCTTGCCAAGCCATTCGACTGTCTCGTGACCATGATCTTTTGTTGAGCGTGTTCAGGCTGAGACGATTATTTGTCTGAACAGGATAAAATCAATATTTGTCAAATGTGGTGTTCTCATCAAATAAACGTCGTAATTTCTCTGAATCATCCCGATGGATTTATCGCATGATGGAAAACGGTTCTTTCTGTGGATACACAATTCACCGCGGTAGTAAAACAAGATTTGACCTTCATTTACTCTTTGGGATGCGGATCTTTTATTTTATTAACATTGCATTAAGTTTGTAAATGAGCGTGCACAAAAACTACTTGATCATCCTAGGCCCGCAGAATGCCAGAAAAGTGTATTGAGGATGCAGCGATAATCAACACGAGGGAACGTGCGCTGCCTCACAGCTGTGCGTGCGCACCAGAGCAAAGCGAATATTTCAAAGGACAGAACACATGACCTGGAGAGCGCAACGTACAATCGACAAGCCTTTCTGATGAAAGCCAAACAAATCATGTCGCCAGTCCTGTCGTGTGGGCAGCACATGCAGACTGATGTCCCACAAATCATACTTAAAGTAACCGAATGTCATCTATTTTTACATCACAATAACAGCTGCGCTGTCAGGGTAGTATGAATGGCACACCGGCTTGGAATAAGGACATCGTCGCCCCTGCCGTTGCCGTAGCAACCAAAGATTGCCTACTTTAGCGGTCGACCACCCAGAACAGATCCCAGCATTTATGTTTTTTGTACACTCGTTTGTATACGGTGCTCAAGTACACTTAACTGTACTGTAAAATCATCCATCAATCCATTATTACCTGAGCCACTTATCCTCATGGTAAGGCACAGTGAGCCCCCCCACCCCCGCTAAAATAGTTTATACCCACATAAAAGTGCTACCAGACAGCCGCCAAAATACGATTGTCGTCCGAATGAAACTCCTCAACTCCCTTCAACAGAGTTCCTTGACACCAGATGCCACGAGATGGCGACAAATGACAATTTCTGTCCGAATGAAACTCCTCAACTCACTTCAAAATCGTTAAGTGAGGTCAAGATTCCAGAGGGGGCATCAGAGTTTTCCAGCACATATGTGTAGATTCAATGTGCATTTTAAAAATGAAAGAATCCATTCGGCGTCCTACTGTCTCATTTGTAATGCAATATTTCAAGTGACGTTTAAACTTTAAAGTCCCGTATATTAATTAGTACAATAACAGTTAAGACTGCTAGCTTTAACGACTAACTACCACTAATGTACAAAAACCATGCGGTAGCTTCAGGGTAAAATGCAGAACCCCAGAGCAAGAAAAAGTCTTTCAAAGAAAAAGCACGTCGTTTCAGAATGTACCGTGATGATCACGCCTTACGTAACAAGGTGCCAGGCCCGTTTCCCCACATTCAGCACAGCGAACATATAAATGAGCGTGCCTCTTGGTATGGAAGACATCTCACTTCCTACACCATTCATGACTACCAGAGGAGTTAAATATCAGTCTTGCATTTCCCCCCCGTCGAGACTCTTTTACATCCAAGAAGACGACACGCACACACCAACGCATGGCGCAGACCCCTGTGTCTTGACGTAACATAGTTGGTATTCGAGAAAAGACGGGCTTGGGACCGTGGGGGCTTACTAAACACGAGCTCCAGATGTTAGTCAGATGAAGTACACACACTGACTCACTCGCAACAAGTCTCTTAACACACAGTTTAATGTAAAACGGCGAAACGTGCATCGAAAAAAAGAAAACAAAGACAAAAATAACCAAAAAACGATGTGCCTGAGATTTTCACAAATATCATATGCAGTGTACCTCCACTTTCAGGGACAAGTGACACAATGTTAATGTCAGCTTATTCCGAATGTTGAAATGAAAATTGTTTGTGGACTGTAGTCTGGAAACCCTGGAGACCAAAATCAGAGACTCACGGACTTGCCAATTTTTTATTTTTTTGCCTTCAAAAAAGTAACTCCGGAACTCACAATAAGAGCATTGAAGTGGCTGATTGCACACTCCATACCTCAGTATAAAAAATAAAACAAAACAAAACAAACAAAAAAACGCTGTACAACCTCAACCGAAGTCAAGAATATTGTCCGCAATCATCACATGCCTTCATGAATCGAAATACTGATTCGTCAATGTTCAGTAGAACAATATGGAGAAGGAAAGGAGCATCTGGGGATACCACATAAATCTCTCAAACATGGTGTCGTGTCATGGCCGTGAATGTCTTCTGATGGAATGGGCTTCCTGGTGTTTCTCGACGATGTGATGATTTCTGCTGAAAGACTGTCCATATGAACGGTGGGGCGTACGTGCTCTGCTCCACTTCCACCAGATGCTACGAACCAACCCTAAAGACATTCTCCAAAAGCTAGTGAAGGCAAACAAAGCTGCCCCGAATACACTCATGCCACCGCGACAGGACGTCGTCGCTCTTAAAATATGAATGTTTTGCGTTTATAACTCTGCATTGCTCTCGACTACCACTGCTGCATCTTTTTTTTTTCCCCCCCTCTCTCCGTCGTCCTGGAGACAGAGAGGTCGAGAAGGACGTTTGCAGCAGCTGCGCGTCTATTTACTCGCAAAAATCAATGCTTCACTCTCACATTTCAACACGACGGTCACAAATGAAGTGAATTGGACTCAGAATTAAGTGATTGTTTCGAGGCGATCACTGCATGCTCTGCAGAATGAAAAAAAATGTATAAAATAGCATACATACAGTATGAAGTGTGTCAGAAACGTCCCAGGATTGAGGAGCACGCGTAACTTGTGGCCTTTAACACGTGTCAACATTCTTTCCAGCGTGCTGAATTGAGATTCGGAAAAACAATATAACTAGCAACAAGCATCCTGTTTAGCTTTCAAAAAACTCGTCGTGGTGGGTCAGGAGTGGAACAAAAAGTCTGGAAACAAATACAACAAAACACCACGAGATGTCCGCACGAGATCGCCAGATGCCCCCGCAATATAACACCTTTCAATAAAAGAGCCAGGAACATGTCTGGCTGATTTTATGCTGCGCGTGCAAAAGAGGGATCGCGTGTTATCTGTTTGCCGTTCATTTTCATCGTCCGGCTTTCAGCGTTTTACAGCACACGTGTTGGCACTTAAAAGGAGGGTCTGCCCGAGAAAAGTGACACCTGACACGTCACATTGGCGGCAAAAGGGACCCGCCCACTGCCGTACCTTCTCCTCGCATAGTGTGCGTGGGCGTGTGCGGTGAAGGGTAAAGACGAGGGGCTTCGACAGTTCAGGTATGCGTTCCGGCTAGATGGGATGTATGCAACACCGAGATGAAGGGCGGTGTGTTGAAACGTCCAAAGGACACACCGAGAGAAAAAGTGACTGTGTCTGTCAGTGTCGCCCCCGCCCGCGTGATGTCACAAATCAAAAGGAAAGAAAACATGAAGCAATAACCATGAGGATGAACACAAACACTCTCGTAGGATGTTTACTTGACAAATATGCCACTGATTACAGTCGCAACAAACATTCTGCTAGTAGCAAGAGCATCTGGCTTTTGTTGTTATCCGGTCATAGTTCGAAGTTATAAGACAAGAGTGAGACAAAACAATCATTCGTTGAGAATTCCCCCGAGGTGACTCACTGGGAGTCCTCTCCGCAGGTCGCAAAAGGCAACCGCGTTGACAAACATTCCGGATTTAACTGATAGGCCTTGTCACATCTCCCGTTGAAAGAGAGCCACTCGCATCTGGACGGGGCGCATCTAAGTGAAAACACGTGTTGCGGAAAAAGCATCTTTGGCTTCCAGAGTGAGGAACCGTGTCGCGATTTTTATGTCGGTACGCATCTAAACAGTGAATTTAGAGACGCCGAAATGCTGCTGTCGTATACCACAGAACAAGTAACTAGGACAAGATGGAAATAACTACAAGAGTAGGAGAGTCAAAAGGCTTTTTGAATTATGTTTGTGTGACAAAGATGCCTTTCTGTGGCTTTCCTGTTTTGCAGAATCAACGCTAAATCTTCATTTTTCCGAGGTCACGGGGTCTGAACTTACTGGATTGTTGACCTCTTCTAACATAACATCTGGAAGACCTTCCAAAAGCCTTCTGGCCACTCAGAGGATTCGCATGCTAAACGCGACAAGCTCGCCGGTCATGAAGTGGCGCAAGAGCTGGATATGAAGAAACTAAAGCAAGGTACATACATCACGTTTTCTTGACCAATTTTACTGATCATATAGCTTGTGGTATACTTGCGATGACTCAACTCAACTCAACTAATAAAACACACAACTCCCGTGGCTAGCATAGTAGCATCATTTGAAAGTGAGCCTAGCATACCATTGTGTGGTTCTTTTGGGGACTGACGTGTTTGATTTGTAATCTGTTAGGTGAAATGAGATGGTCTTTTTTCCCTAAAACTATGAACTGACAACAACAAGAGCCAGATACTCTTGCTAGTAGCAGTAGCACTGCTATCAGTGTCTGACAAGGAGGATGCAGTCGAGATGAGGTGAGTCACACGAGTGATGCTTTTCATGACAAAGATATGAGTCATGAAAAAAAACGTGGAAGACACAAGTATACTTCCACTTATTCAAGAATTTGGGGGTTTAAAAAAAATGAATAATTCTATTTTTGTCAGTGATTATGAAAGCAGGTGACGTGTTTACCTTCTTCACAGCCAATGATGGTAGCCTCCTGGTGTGTTTTGGCACCTGACAACTCGTACTCCTCTGTAGCATGGACTGCAGCATGGCAGATCCGTTCCTTTCCTCCTCGGGCTTGTCCTCGCTGGGTGAGGCCGGGAGTAAAGTCGGCGCGGCGCTGGGGGGATCCGGGGGCAAGAACGGGGGAGGTGGCTCTTCTCCGGGTATGGCCATCTCCTCTGTGGCCGTGAGACGCAGGTTACGCAGACGTTCGTGCGTCTCCTGATCCACCACCAGGAGTCTGGTCTCATTTTCCACAGCTTTGATCCGCTGTACCACCTGCGGGAAATGTGATGGACACAAATGAACCCCTCGAATATTTTGGGTGAGCAACGTGATCTGCAGACTTTGGGCTTTTAAGTTTACCAGAAATCTACAGTGACAATCAAAGTGCAGGAATCTGTATCCGCAGCACAAAGTATGTTGCAATCTTCCCACAGCACAGCTTGGCAAAAGCGTACTAGTTTGTCACATCCTCAATTACTGTCAAGGAACTTCCAGGCTACAGTCTTGATCAACAGGTTTGCACAACTTTTAAGTACATGGAGGTCTCTTGTGTCACGTAGTCAAAACAGATTTAACTTAATCAAATAAAAATATATACTGAAATCGTTTTATTAAAAATTCAATAAAATCAAATAAAAGGATGTCAACAATAACAGAAAATGGAAAATTGTAATCTCAGGATGTAAACTATAATAATATCAACGCTGTAACATTATACTCCACATAGCCACTGAACAGATTCCTCCTTTTTGCGCTTCCAAATAATCCGGTTTCTCTGGTGTTGTAATTTGAAGCGTTTTGAAGCGTTTCCATGGGTGCCTTAATAAAAGTTGAATTACCGGGTACGACGGTGCCACATAATCGACTCCAAGTCCATTTGTGGCGGCGTTTATTGCATTGTGAATACCTACCTGGTGGTGTGTCTCTCGCTCCACGTTGACGCCGTTGACCGCAACCAGGCGGTCGCCCGCGCGTAAACCAGCCGCTTCTGCGGACGAGCCGGGCTCCACTTTGCGGATGAACTGCCCGGTCTTGCCTTTCTCGCCGTGCAAGTGAAAGCCGTAGCCTTGCTCCCCTTTTGTCATGACACAAAGCCTTGGTTTCCTCTCGCTCGCCATGTCCTCTTGTACTTGTAATTCCTTCGCAGAGTTCGGGTGATTGGAAAAATTGCAAATCCGGTTCAAAAGTGGGCTAATCGCATACCTGCCAATTACGCCCGCTTCCCAGAGCAAAACCAGCTACCAAAAGTTAAAAAAAATACAAATAAAATCCACAGTTTGACAAGACGTGCGTTCAATAGCGACCATTGCTGGCGGTGTCTTCAATTCCAAAATGTGATCCTCGGAGGTTTTCAGTGCAACGTGATGGATGTTCACGCATGGACTCCAACTTTTCCCTCGACATCTAAGCGTAGCAACGGCTCGCTTCCACTTGCACAGTCCATGTGGGGCCTCAGCACCACCCTCTACCCAACCCGGCCCAGATGTTGCAAGACATCAAGTGCACCCAATTTGGTGTAATACCGCCCCCGTGTGGCAAAAAATTGTTCAAGTAAACCTCGCGCGCACCTAAAACCTTAGCAGTGCGTTTGTGATTTTTTTAAACACTACCTAATAAGAAACGTCAACTCTCCTTCACCATCGTGACCGACATTATATCATATCATTCCAAATCCACCAAGTATTATTCAACTGGCTCGTGTAAAATAATGTAGGACCGTATAAGACCCAGTGTAGCGCAACTAAGACATCTAGTGGTGACTGGTGATAGTGTAACTGAAACCTATTTCACTTTTTTGCAGATTTTTGTGTGTGTCTTTTTTTTTTATTATTATTTATTTATTTTTATGGATTCCAGTCTCCTCTGAAAAACTCACTTATTTGCTGTTTTTGTGCTTAGGCCAAATTAAAAGTATTGCTTTGACCATCCTGTAGCGTCTTGGTCTCAAGCAACTATGCTAGAGTGAATTAAGGCGCTTCATTTACCCAACAGTACTGCTTTGCTGCCAATCTGTAGCATCTTGGTGTCAAGGATTCGTGTTGGAGTGAGTTGAGGAGTTTCATTTCGATGAAAATAGTGGTCATCTTGTGGTATCAACAGCCAAGTTTCAATCTTTTTTTTCTGCACAGGGCTTTCCACTGCAGCATAATTTATTTCTCAATCAGACTAAGAAACACTTGTACAGTTTTAAATTGAAATGAAAATTTAACACGTAAAACTCTGACGAATGAACATCATACAAAAATACTGCTCTTGGTCACAGATTAATTGCCCTTTTTGACTCTTCCAGTGAATAGAAAAATACCTAAACTAAAACAAAAAAAAGGGCATCTGAGGCAGCACATTTGAACTCGTCGAATTTTAAACATGACCACATTTTCCCCTTTGCAGAGGTTCTCCATCAAGAATTTGATCCGAACAGCCTTGCCGAACACTACAAAGATAAAGAACTGAATTCTATCCGGGTGAGAGTTATTGTGCAATGAAATTCTCATCAGTCTGAGGTCCAGGTTGAAACGGTGGCACTTCCGTTTGGCATGGGGCCATCGTGTCGCATCATCTCACGGCATTGACTGACCATTCAATGCCACTGAAGAGTCATTGTCAGGTTTTCCAGCGGCCTCCATCTGGACGCACTGTGAATAAATAGACTTCAACATTACGTTTCAGGAATAACACACCTTTAATTCACACGAGACTGTTCTTTTGATGGCGGCACCCCCAGCGGCTCCTCTCTGTATGTTGCACATCTCGCACATTTACACCAATAGGCAATTTATAGTCACCAAATAGCCTAACATGTGTTTTTAGAACGCGACAGTAAGTTTGAGCTGACAGGAGAAAAAAAAAAATGACAATGCAAGCAGGAGAGGGCATGCAAACTCCATACAAGACACCCAGGGCCAACATTCATACCAGTAACCCAAATGTAAAAGTGATGGAAATCCCCTTTTAGGTCAGGGCTTGTCAAGTGCATCCTACCTGGCTGTTCCGTATTTTTCCATTGTGGTTCGGATTCCCGGCTGGGAAAAGCGGATCGTGGTTGGCCGCCGGCTTGTCGTTGGGTGCGGCCTGTTGGGCTTCCCTCAGGTTTCCAGAGGCAACACCCCCTTTGGGTTTGTGCAAACAGAGCACCTTCTGAAAGCTCTGTCTGAATTTGTCGGAGAGGAAGCCGTAGAGAATGGGGTTGGCGCAGGAGTTCACATAGGTGAGGGTGACGAGGAAGAAGTAGACCGCCGCTGTGGCATTGTTCTCGGGGATGATGTGGACCAGGTTGACAATGTTGGTCGTGAAAAAGGGCATCCAACAAAGTACAAAGACCAGCACAATGATCACCACCATGCGGGTCACCTTCCGCTCCGACTTACGCCGCTTGGTCACGCCCGCCCGCACGCCTGCCGACCTCACCTGGAAAGAGATGAGAGACCATTATTTCACCACAACTTTAATGTGTGGAGGCCCCGGCAAAAGTCGGCGAGACGTGTACCTTGATGACAATGAGCAAGTAGCAGATGCTAATGACCAGCAGCGGTCCGAAGAAGCCTAGGATGGATGTGTAGAGGATAAAAACAACAGACCACCAGTTCTGCATCTCGGGCCACGTGATGTTGCAGGTGTTGAAGCCCTCCTGAACGTGTGAGAAGATGGTGACGGGCAGCACGACCAGAAAGGACACAACCCACAGCATGCCGCTGAAAATCTTGGCCACCTGCGGCCTCCTCCACGTGGCGCTGCGGATGGGATGGACCACCGCCAGGTAGCGATCGATGCTCATCACCGTCAGGCAAAAGGTCGACATGAACTGGCTCATGGCGTCTGCCGTCATGCACACCTTGCAGAAAAAATCCCCATAGGGCCAGTAGTAAAGGACACTGTTGGTAGCGATGAAGGGGATTCCTAAAATGTAGAGTTCATCCGCCACGGCTAAATTGAAGATGTACATGTCGGTCACTGTCTTCATCTTGGTGTAGCGGATCACCACGAAGATGGCCAGCGAGTTGCCGAGGAGACCCACGATGAAGACGACGCTGTAGACGATCCCCATGATGACGCGGAAGGGCAGCGGCTCCATCACATTGGACATGCTGGCGTTGTGGTCCGTCATGTGGGGCCGAGGGAAAGACGCGTTCGCTTCCTCAGACGCTGATGTGATATTGTATTCGGCCATCTTTAGGCAGGGCTATCCAAATGGAATATAGCTGGTGACAGCTCAGAGGAGGGGGGAAAAAATTTTGAAATCATTATGTGCAATATGTGTAAACTGTCTCGACATCGTTTTTCGCTTTTGCCAAAATCCCGCTAGTTAAATAATCGAAGCCTTTCCACATCACGAGAAGTGTCGCTACCACTTAGCTCCCGAGCTAACAGGGACTCTCGGCCACTTGGCGTGGGGACGGTGTATGGCATTATTTTTGTTATTTCCCCTCTCAATCTGAAAACATATATTTTGGATTTGTAAATATGTGCAGACATACTTTTTAAGGCAGTAGGCCTCCATTTTTTTTTTCTGCCAGGGATGGGGTCATGGAAGTGCAGATTTTTTGCCGGCAACCATTCGTCAATAAGGGCGGGGCATGGGAGGGGAGGCGGGTCCGGGATGCGGGAAACGAGTTGCTGACGTATAATCTTGATTGTGACGTGCTGTAGATGCCCCGCAAAAAAAATTCATCTGCGCGGGCGAACGGCCTGCTGACCGGTAACGGCCCGCGGGTTGGTGATTGGGGACCGTCGCTTTCAGGAATGCCCTTGAATTGCGATGATATGTTCTCACCGTGAGTGAACTTCACTAATTTGATTAATGTTAGCTGTCAGTCTTTGCAACCTGGGGCTGTAGAAACGTGTTGCGCAAATACGGTAACTGGTTTGATGTAAAGAGTCAGTGAACCGCGCTCCAAAAACAGGAGTGACGTGCAGCCCGCAGCGCATTGTTGAGAAAACAAACACCATGTTTGCTTCAGGCTACGTGCTGCTTGACATCTCGGGGCCACCGCTGAAGTCATTTTTAGAGCGTTGTTGTCCAGATGGCTACATCTCGATTTGGCCTCAGGCCAATTTTTGTCTTGACAAATTCAATTGAAATGGAACAAAAACTTGATACGTTTAGTACATTGTGCATGTAGTGCTTTAATATTCCCTTGACAATATGCAGATCAACGAACGCGATGCATTCAAGAAGCCTGAGTCAATCTTTTCAAGCTTCAAAAGCCCATTAAAAAAAATCTGCGCGCACTCTACAAAGTCAAAACATAGCTCGGCTGTTTTTTTTGATGAAATTGTTCGTCTGAGTTAAAACTGATTGAAATGGGGAAGCGTTCAAATTCAACCTTTTTAGTTTGCGTCACGATGCTGCCTCCGTTACACCATTAATCTTATGTGCTTAAATGTTTCTAATTGCACAATTTCCCTCCCACATCTGCCTTAAGTTTGTCGAACTTGACTCCGACTGACTGCGGTCGTCTTTGTGTTATAGTGGCGAGGATGGGACGTATCCTACCTGTCGCCGTGCGCCTCAGATGCTCCGCACCGCCGCCACCACCTGGAGTGATGCGCTGCACTCTCCGCATCAAAGCAGTCTTGGAATTTTTCAAGGTCAGAGAGAAGAACCTTCCAGCTCGGTTTCCTCGTCGCTTTGAAGCGTCATGTTTGCGGACGTCTTCCGCCGTCTTCGAAAATATGATGGTGAACTTTGCCCTCTGCAGGTTGGATTGGGAGCTTCTGTCCAGGGGACGACACCGTGTCAGAAACCCCTCGAGGATGGATGCACAGTGAGTATTTATGTGAGGAAAATGCCCCCCCTCCCCCTTCTGATGCCAAAGTCCCACCCATCGGTGGGTGTTTCTATGATTACAGCTCAACAGCGCAAAAGCACACATTTTATACCAATTTCTGTCATTTTTATGCAACCACCAGTGGCTCATACAAATGTCTAGAAATAGACAAACTATGAATAACTGTGTGTGTGTGTGTGTGTGTGTGTGTGTGTGTGTGTGTGTGTGTGTGTGTGCCTGCCTGCCTGCCTGCGTGCGTGCGTGCGTGCGTGCGTGCGTGCGTGCGTGTGTGTGTGTGTGTTGCGACGGAGAGTAACACCGAGACCGCTTGGGATGGAGTATGTGGAGAAAGGGTACGAAAACTGTGGGTGGAATTTTGCGTGCCGTGAGGACGCTGTTTCGGTATTTTCCACGTCAGCACGTTGTTTTGGTCACAATGGGTCAGTTGCTGACGTCTTTTGAAAGGACCTGTTTGGCTGGTCCCGACCAGGACCGGGTTGTGAGTCAACACACAGCTGCGTATAGAAACCGGCCCCGCAGGGATGTCGTGCAGAGCCAAACAGCACGTACTGGCTGATGATATGGCTCATTTATCTTATATCTCAGCGACGGGGGCGCTCAAAGACACATATTCACTCAGCACGTTGCCATTGAAAGCCGCGAATCGAATCAATAAATGGTGACCCTTGTGAGGATAAAGCGGATCGAAAAATGGATGGATGGAATGAATGGAAAAGGCATTTGAATTGCACTTGGCTTTGCAGAGTTCATGACATCAGGGTGTATTCAACTGCGCTGAAGAAGATTCAATACGTTATTCCAATACTTAATTATTAGTGTCCTTGTTATTGTTAGGGGTTTAGTCCTGGGTGTACTTCACCTCTCACCAAACTTCAGAGGGGACAGAAGTCCCTAATTAGTGATGGAACTAACACACAAAGTAAAAAAATATATTTTCATAGAGTTTATAAGAATCCCGTGAGTGCCACACTAAATCAACTTGATTTGTTTTGCAAGTGGGCACTCAAAAGGAAGGATAACCACAAAGCCACATGTAAGCTTTTATTGATCCCTCCGCCCCTCCCTACGCCCCTCCCCGTGCATTTTCACAACATCCTCCCGAGGCTCCAGCGAGATTTGACACTCTGTTGAATCACAGGCTTCTAACAACAAGTTCAGTGGAACCCAGCAGTTTAAAAAAAAAAAAAGTGTGATTAAAATTGCGACTTTACATCAAAAGATTCATTTGTAACATGATGTCACGTCCGTAATCGTAGCAATGTCGAAGTGATATGAAGCTCGCGTGGCCATTATGTGTCCTGTTTGATCTTTTTCATTGTAACGGGATCCAAAGTTCTCCAGCCTATTTATGTCGTCTCTCTTTTTATGGCAGCGATACCGTTTTAATCATTAACTATACTCCAGTCCATCAACCTTGAAAGCATGAACTGCGCTCATTTTATAGTGAATGAAAAAAAAAAAAAGACAAAGGACATTCTATTGTATAAAAAGCAATTTAAAATTGCATGCACACAATGATTCAAGCACAGGAACCCCCCCCCCCAGTTTTAAAAACAGCTTCACTGCGCGCTGACACTCAACACGAGCCGCATAGAGTAGACAGAGTCCAGGACGTAAACAACGAAGTTGAGAATTGTCATGACGGTGACCATCACCAATTTATCCCATGAACACAGGTAACCACAGTTCGGTGGTCTCTGATTATTTCGGAAACTAAAAAGTGGCCAGATCACCATAGCTGTCAGATACATAACTGCTGCTAAAATGTCATAGACGATCACCATCTTGTCAAAAAACGGCAGTAGCGAGGTCAGCTGTCCAACGGTGAGCAGGATGATGAGCATGGCGAGGATGAAGCACAAGGAGTACACGGCCACGCACCACTGCAGTTCAGGAGAGTGCCCGTACTGTCTTTCCTCCAGAGATGTGAAGATGAGACAGGCGAGGAAAGTTTCCAGCATCTTCATAATTCCGGGCGGCGTGGAGAGGAAGCCTCGGATCTGCCCGCTCGGCCGCAGGCGATTTAGCGTCACCTCGCCCACGTACAACCCGCAACACACGCAGGACACCACGGAAGCGCCGATCTGTCGGTAGCAGACGGCGCAGGTGAAAAACGTCGGGTAGATGACGCAGGCGGCCAGGCACATGAGGCTCGCCAGCATGGCGAAGGCGGTGGTGAAGTCATCCCAGGCGAAGGGCAACTTGGCGCTGAAGGTGGTGAACTCCAGGATGAGGATGAGGAGAGTGAAGAAGAAGCAGAAGCACCAGGTGAACATGCACCAGGCCCAGTAAGGAGACGGCACGTAGCCCGCCGATGCCACCAGGCTAAAACACACACACGTGAGGACGGCGGCCATCAGCCGCAGGATGCCCACCGGCTGGGTCAGCGAGTGGACGTCGACGTGGATCATGGCGAATAGCTTTGACCTCAGAAATGATCCTCTCGCAATCCTCTCCTCTACTCAATCCATTTCTTTGCGCCGGAATACCCCAGCAGAAGAGTTTGTGAAGCGGAGCCCGTCGTAGAAATCCACGCAGGCGAGAAAACGCATGCTCTCTGTTCTTTCAAAGCGAAACTCGGCCTGCAGGGCGTGTATAGTCAAACACAGCATCTTTGGTATCTGTGTTCGCTTTATGGCTTATGGTCTGACTGTAATTGCTGATTGCACTTGTGCCGGTTGTTATCAAGCCCGCATCAAGACACACTCATGCGGGACTTTGCTCCCGTTGCCTCATCCGGGGGCTTATCTTCAACAGAGTTTGGCCTACGGGCTGGAGAACATGCGCAACGGCTCCTTCCCCAAGCTGGATGGTGACAATGCCGAGTGAAGCAATTATACGAACAATCAGTAGAGTGCAGACCCGCGCTCAGGAATTTTGGAGAAGTAATTGACAAAATCAGGAAATTATCCATGAAGTAAAATAAAAACAGGACAGTTAACTGTCGTTTTGTGTTTATAAAACTCACTGAAATGAACTATTATAATAGCAACGTGCCAGTCATTTTAGTCCATGTTCAATTCAGCTCATAAAGGAGGTGTCCGGATTTATTTTAAATTTATTTCATTTTGGTATTACTGTACGGCCGCACAGAGGAAAGAAGGTCCAGTAGTGGTTTGGGAATTGTAGTTTATTTTATTGCACCATAGATGTGACTTTTTTTTTTTTTGTGTCCGAAGTCAGTGCACCTTTGCAGCAGTCCACATCACATCTGCATACATACATAGTTGTGAAATTAAAACATTTGTGCAGTGTCAATCAACAATGGACATTATTATATCGGTCAAGATAGAATTATAGATGCGGCTATTGTATTGGTTATCAACAAATTGCGCACTTAACCCAAAAGTTGTCGTTGCTTTTTTTTGTTTTTATAATACTGCCCTCTAGTGGACATCTCGTTTATAGCTTCAACAACGTAGGCAGATCATACAGTGAAACCTCCGAAGTTGAACACCCCAAAAGTGGTACAAATTCGGAGTTCAATTTAAAATTTTCAGGAAATTATGTCACGCAAAACGACAATTTAACAACAATTTTAATTTTTCAGTGATCATAATCGTTGACGACTAGAATGAATATGGCCAGAGAAAACGTCACAATTTTGACGAGCAATTAGAAATCAAACACAGAGCCAACAGACACAAAATAATTCCGCCGGTCGATTTTATAATGTCACAAGGCTACACTTTTGCTATATGATGGTGGCAGTTTAAGAATGGAATAAATGACAGTTATTTGCTTTCAATGACATCCAGTAAGAAAATAAAAAAATACATTTGAGTCACTTGCAAGTCAGGCACCGTGATGGAATGGACTGTTTTCAATTTCAATTCAAATTGTGCTGTACGGGTACACTGTAACATCTGCGTTTACTCTATTTTTTTTTTTTATTTTCTATACAGTTTTTCTGATGGCACTGAAATTTTCAGTGACACACAGTATTAACTTTTGAGAGTTGCGCTTGGGATTTCAAGGAGGAAAATGGTATTTGTGCTATTTGAGAAATACACTTTCTTTCATGCTTATTTCAAGGATGGTTTGAGAAATCTACCAAAGCGTCTGAAGAAAACTATCAAATACTTGATATAAAATTCCCTTGCCCCCATACATGTTGGAGCAAAATTTGCATGTTTGACGTTTGGATTTTTGTCTTTGATGGAGTGTAACGTTATGTTTCAGACTCATGATGTCATAGTGAATCGTTCTCACAGGATGCACTCTTGTGACCTCTCCCTGCGCTTCCCGAAATGACTATCATGAGTTTTTTTGTCACATGTTGTGAAATGCGTGTGTCAGAGGAATGTCAGGAGAAGTGTTGTAGAAATTTTCTATTTTCTATTTTCTATGTAACTCTCTCTCTCTCTCTCTCTCTCTCTCTCTCTCTCGCTCGCTCGCTCTCTATGTGTGTATGTGTGTGTGTACACATATATATTGTATATATAGGAATATGCATATCTATAAAAGTGACCAGGAAGTAAATTTTACATCACTCATGATGCATGATGTTTGGATTAAAATTGAGACTAAATCCATTCAACTAATGTCACAGGATAATTTGATTGATTTTTTCTCTGACGTATGCAGTCACGTGGGGAAGTTGGGTGCGGATGATGGGAGGGCCACCTGACAAAGTTGTGAGAAGTAGACAATTGAAACACAGTCGATAATCCATCCTCTATTGGTCTTATCTAGATAGTGAAGTGCTGGTTTTATAATCGCCTTGCGCATATTAAGTGTGCTCTTGATTTTGTGCTCACTCGGAGTCAAGCAGACACAGCAAGGAAGGTTTTTCCCTCTCTTTGCTGGTGTAAAAAGCCACAGGTAGGTAAATCATATTTGATCACATTTTCAAAGAAATGGAGAGCGCATTTTGCTGATATATTATGTAACCTTGTTGTATTTGTGCCAAAATTTGAATATTGATTTCCCTTGTTTTTTTTGTTTTTTTTTTTCCTCACACCTAATCAGAGCTACCAAAGAGTAATATTTTATTCTTTTGATTTGCTGTTTAATGCCATCCTTATTTGCGTATTATATCGGGTCTGTTGATAACAAAGAAAGTCATCTCCCACTGTTGTACAAAAAACTGGGTGAGGCACTCGTGCAAGTCTGTGGTGAACATGCGCGAGTGACTTATGCTTCTCTAAATGATTTAGTATGGATTTATGGCGAAACTGTGGATGGCTAGCAGGGACAGACTGGGAATACACAATGAGCAACGGTTCGACCACTTATGGGATCGGGACTCGTGCCAGGCAACATGATCGCAGCTTTTAAGCACAAGCCCATGCCTCTCTCCCTCTAATCAAATTATTGATAAGCTGAAGTAAAGTGCTTTGGCTCCGTGATTCCTGGACCATGGACTCGGAGCATTGCATTTTTCAGGGCACAATAAGACATCTTGTGCGGTACTCTTACGAACGTGAAAATAGCTCGCCATAAAAGATAAAATGTTGACCTTTTAACAAAAAGCTTCACTCGGCTACGCCACTCAGAGAATCGCAATGTTGAACTGAAAAATGTCACTTTCAGTCCTGTGCACGGAAGATCCTAGTTCCTCATTTGATGTAACGGGGTTATATAAATGATCATACTAGTACACAGGTGAGTTGTTAATAGTTGATGTTGAAATAGTGAAGGGGAATTTTACGAATGGTCAAAGTGTCATTTGCAAGAAAAGGTTTGGCTGTGTTCGGGAGCTATACAGTTGTGAAATATTTTGTGTGTCATATCCTGGAAAAATTGTCAGGTTGGACATACTGTACGCCCTCCTTGCACACACAATATCAACAATAGGGAAACTGGCCAAAGGGTACTAAAGCTGCAATGCCGTTTATTTCCCTTATTGTTGATCCTCTTTGGCCCATCCCAGCCTCGCGAAACATCACACTAACAATGAGCCCATATTTGCATTCTTCCTTTATGTGTATTTGGGGGAATTGGTATTTCTCTTGAAATTGTTTTTACAATAACTACAGGAAAGAACTCCAAATATTGACTATGTATCTATTAGCTAAACCACTCCGACGAATACAGACAAACAACCATTCATGAACGTTATGCTTTTGTTCCCTGGGAGGTGACCAGAGCACTTAAAAAAAAAGGACCACATCATTCAGTCATGCTGACAAGTTGACTTTTCCAAGATAGGTCCAAGTGCTTTGCCATGGATTGGTTTGTTTTCTCTGCGGTTTGCTAAGAACGTGTTTCATGTTTACATTTTCTGTCTAGGAAAGACTTCTCAAGATGGAAAAAGGATACCCAGGACAAGAATCAGCTCCACCCTACCCTGGCCCCCCCATGACCTATGGGGTTGCACCACCCCCACCTGGGTTGAACCCAGCACTTAATGTAGGACCCCCACCTGTTGGATACCAAGGAGGTCTGTGGATGCTGCCTGTTTAAAATAACCGTTTGTTATCACCCTGAATTGGAGAATCTTTTGTATTGCACGCGAGAGCAGTGGAGTAATGGAATGTACTGCATATTAATGTATATACTGTATTGTTTGCTTGTGTTTTCATCTGCTATGTGCTGATCTCACTCTGGTCCCAGGTACGTCTGCCACAGGTGAGCGAATACCTGTTATCCAAAGATGCACAGGTCCATATAAATGGACGGGCGGTACGGATTTTAGAAATCAGTTACCGTACTGTCGCAATTTGTCAGTACCTGTGTGCGCAATGCCAATGACTGCATCTGCACTGCATGAGGAAGTCAGCTTGCGTCCAAACTGATCTGCAGAATAGTCCATTTGCAGCCCGTGTGCATCACAACGAACCTTTGTTTGTCGTCCCCGAGCACAGTCACCTTTTGGGATGTGCTTCAAGTCACAGAAGAATTACAATTCCTATTACATCATATTGTTGAGTACACCACGTGTGACAATTATATTTCAGTCTAGCCTGATATTTAACCAGCTCATTTACAAAATAGAATAAGTGGTTCATAATACGCCTGCGTGAGATGTTACATGAATGAAGGCGACCAAATAGACTGAGATCACGTGATATTTGCGATACGTTTGCCACCCTCTGCTGGTCAATTTAAGTCACTACGGTAAAGGATGGTTTGCCCACGTACACTCCCCCATTGGAATTGAAAGAATGACCTTAAAAACTATAAATAAGAGGAATAAACTGTTTTCAAAGATAAAAAGAAAAAGTTATTGTGTTGTATTTTTTTCAACTGCAGTGACTCATCTAGTGGTAACACCTTCTCTGCAAGACAGCCCTGGGCAAGCCATATGCCCCCACTGTCAGCAGACTGTGGTTACCCAGATAGAGCGCACGGCAGGCCTGATGACATGGGCCATCTGCGGAGGCCTCACCATATTTGGGTGAACAGCGAAAACACACATTACAGCCATAATATATTGATAAGCTTCTGATCTTGCTTCCCCACACTGAAAATGACTTTTTTTTGGTTTTCCTGTATCAGGTGTTTTCTCTGCTGCTGTATACCATTCTGTGTGGACTCCTGCAAGGATGTGGAGCATCACTGCCCATCTTGCCACAAAGTCATCTATGTTTACAAGCGGTTATAAAATGCTCCAGATTGGAAACTTGATGCTCATTATGACATTTCAATTTGGTAAATGTAATGGTAATAGTAAACATTGCAAAGGCTAAGTAAGATCTGTTTATTTGTGATGCGTGGATGTGGCATGGGAGATTACATGAATAAATTATTAACCAGTCAGTGGAAAAATGTGCAAGTGATGAATTATCAGTCAATGTGTATTGTCCCTCAAGAAGACAACTTCAAGTGCTATTATGATGTGCAAACAAGAATAAACACACGTGCAATTATAAACTGCGAATGTTTCCACGTTTATCCATCCATCCATTTTCTAATCTGACCGCCATGCATGTTTTTGAAATGTTGGAGGAAACCGGTGTACCCAGAGAAAACCCACGCAGGCACGGGGAGAACATGCATACTCCACAGAGGAAGGACGCAGCCGGAATCGAACCCTTCAACCTTGCACTGCGAGGCCGAACCAGTTTTTCCACCGTGCAGCACGTTTCCACATTTAAAAACTAAAAACAATACACACTAAACGTAAGACAATACAAGTAGTGTGTGTTAAGAAAATGTAGTTTAAAACCTATAGTTTTGTTAAACGAAGTTGCCAAACTGCAAAACAAACCAACACAAATTTATGACTGTATTCGCGTGACGTCATGGCGTGATCTCGTCAACAACTCAGCTGTTGTAATGGTGCATTCAATGACATCTGGGAAATGTATTGACGAAGTGAATTTCAAGTGCACGACGTAAAACCGATATCGACAAAAATAGCGACGCTTTTGTGTTTATGAATCCCCGTGTGTTCGGATACAGAGCTCAAAATCGGCGGACACGTAAAATGCTCCATTCTCAACATGCTACATAATGCAATATGAATCAAACATATTTCTTATCAATAACACTTAAACAAATTGTGGATTAACGCATCATTTTGTAGGCAGACGATGTGATTTATCCCGAGTGACGAAAGGGCGTATAACATTTGGCGGGTCGTTTCTGGAATATCCAAGTTTGTGGAGTAGCTCCTGAAGGCACCATTGAAGAAGGGAGAGGAAAAAAAGAGGAAGACATCCACGTCGTCTCCTGCATCGTAACGGGCCCGGTCCGGTCCAGTAATGTTCTCTGTGTAGTCATTTCATCCAAGAAGCGCATAAATGCTGTCATAGCGGCTGGGAATCTGGAATCCTGCAATTAAAAAAAACACTCCTATTTGCATAATACGGAGAGGACTACAGACAAATAATGGAGCTGGAAGACGGAGTTGTGTACCAGGACGACCCGGGGACATCAGCGATGATGTCAGAGCGGGTATCGGGCCTGGCTAACTCCATTTACCGCGAGTTCGAGAGGCTCATCGGGAAATACGACGAGGACGTGGTGAAGGAGCTCATGCCGCTCGTGGTGGCGGTCCTGGAGAACCTCGACGCGGTGTTCGCGGAGAATCAGGAGCATGAAGTGGAACTGGAACTGCTCAAGGAGGACAACGAGCAGCTTATTACCCAGTACGAGCGCGAGAAAGCGCTCAGGAAACACGCGGAGGAGGTGAGACATTTTGTGCAGTTTTATGACGCTAGCCTCCGTTAGCTTAGCTGGGAATTAAAACGCACTTGACCGGGGCAGCATCCAGCTTCCTTGCAGAAGTAAACAAAACAATCTCATGCTAATGTTGCAATGCTAACGTCCTCGCTATAAAGTGTGCACTTGGTGGCACGGTGCTTCATCTGCTACAGTCGCACCACGCACCTAAAGAAACTACATGGCATCCAAATGCACCTGTTCACCGCTCACTTCTCAAGTCAGTGAATGCAACACGTCAGAGTCCCGTGAGACCTGCACCGGTGTGACTCAGCATTTTTTTAGGCCGTCATTCGAAGTGCCGGACCCGGCGGAAAGACACGGACAAATCAGCTTTCATTCAGTTTGATTTTAATTTATGAGTGCTGTTTCTGATTTGGATCAAAATTTTCCCGTCGTTGGCAGATAAAGCAACGACTCTCCAACTTTTAACATCGGGCACCAGCTCCAAAAAAAAATACTGAGCTCCACCACCATAAAGACCAAGATTATAAAATACACTAACGTAGTCGTCGGCCCGAGCGTCAATCCAACACACGAACACAAAAGTTGCACTTAAATCAGTGCTTCTCCATTGTTTTCTGTTACGCAAGGAAAAAGAAAACACTCCGCACACCCCCCATCTTTCCGCCGTGACTATAAATAGTATCACTATCTATAAAATTGTTATAAATACATCTCCGTATAACGTTCATCCTAATGACCAAAAGAAAGAAATATAGATCATTTTAGAACAACGAATAATTTAACATGCTTTTTCCCCACAGTAAAGGTTTGCCTGAAAAATAAATAAATACGAACATCAGCACCACCTTGAACTAAGAAAGGTGATTAATTGTATTGTTAAAAATAGATTCTGATTAATCGATTGATATGATTCAATCGGCCAGCCACAATTTAAATTGCACCAAATGATAAGTTGTCTCAAGGCACTTTGACAGAGTGGAATAGATTAGTTTGAGATCCATGCAGTCAGGAAACTCAATAGATCCTGGAAAACCAAAACAGGAAGTCACTGTTTATTCTTCCTCCAACAGGAAAACAAAAAAACTGAATGCCAAGTCTCAATCTGCCACACACGGCGGATAGAGCAAAAGGTGGAGCAACAATTGAGAACAATGCCACCTCTCAGAGTGGTCCCAATACTATGATATGTGATTGAAGTCGAACAGTTGGAATGGTATTAATGTAATTACTTAGGTTAAGACCTACTGCAGAAAATTTGAGGGCCATAGGAAGGAAAAGTGTAATTGTTTGCTTGTCTTGTGCTAGATTGACACAAACTATATATTTTGACTTCTTAGGCAAGGCTACAAAATATTTTCCCAATCATTTACCGGTAGAATAATTAGGACTCAAAGAATTGCATTTGATTAGAACTCCCAATTATATTTATTAGATAGTATTATATTATTGTCATGGCTCGGATGTGAGAATACGCGCCTCCTGGCTTCCTTCCCTCCGTGTGAGAATATGCCGAGACTCGGACCTTCTGCCCCAGCTGACTCCTTGACCCAAATGCATTTGGACTGCGGCAATCGTGACACTGAAGCGGCGTGACAGTCGCACATTGTCGCCGTTGTTTCAAAGTCCAGTATGAACCGTCATTTTCCAAAATATATATAAGGGGTATTACGTCCAGGTCATGTGATTTTTTAATTTGTTTTTTTGAAGGGAAGTCACAGAAAGGGAACATCACCCTCATCACAACTTACATTTCCCTATTTTCTCTTGAATAGTGCTGTGATGGACTGACCAGTAGTGTGTGTGCGCCTTGTCACATTTTAACTGTTAAGAATGACAATGCAAGCTTCCAGTTCTGTAACGTCATATGGATTTGTCAATCCAGGTCCATCTGCTGTCACTTTGCAGGCACAGATGGGCGGCCACGTCAACATTCGCCTGTTTTCTTCCTGTTAATGGAAGTGCAAGAAATACCCATATGACTCAATTTCGGTTTCCCACTGATTTCCTTCTCTGTATGCACCTTTTTTTCCCTGCCCCACCCAAATTGAAATAGTGGGAAATTATAACATGACCACAATTGTAGAGTCGAGCGTAACATTTTTTTTTGGTTCCAGAATGAGTAATCGAGTTCACGTGGGATATACAGTAGTGTAGAGCGACATTGTCCCACAGCTGCCTCCAATTGTGAGAACGTTGCTGCCCTTGTGACCAAAGAAAGAGACCGGTGACCACAAGTTGCTTGACTTTGCTGCCGAAAGCGAGTCACCTGATGCATTGCCCGCCGTCTAATCCTACTGCCTGTCCTGTCTGTCTGTGTCTGCGAGTAGAAGTTCATTGAGTTTGAGGACACGCACGAACAGGAGAAGAAGGACCTGCAGAGCCATGTGGACAGAATGGAATCCCACTCACGGCAACTTGAACTCAAGATCAAGAACCACGCTGACCAGAGTAAGCACTAACGCGTGGATGTACAAATGACCCATTAAAAAAAAAATATATATATATATATATATATATATATATATATTCCCAAAAAAATAAAGAGAACGGAAAT